AGGAAGGGACAAAGGAAGTCGCCCCCACCCCCGCTTTTATCAAAAATAAAAAGCAACCCTGTGGCCCTTGCAGAACCTGCGATGTGGAGCAAACCACGCATTCATTATTCTGTCTTTGGTCAGAAACATGCCTGGTCCAGCCTCACAGTTTTGAGTCAATTAATACATTCAAATTATGTATAAATAAAGTTCATCTTGAATATATCTACCTGAGAGGAGCAGGGACTGCGGCTGCTGAGCCCTGCAAATAGCCCCTGCAGGTTGCTGTTTTAGGGATATGCAACGGGGGGGGGGGGGGGGTTTTTGGGCGGGGGGCTTCTTGTTTTGGGGGGGGGGGGGGGGGGTTGTGATGCAACCAGCTTTGCAAGACCCTGACATTTTTTATCTCTGGCAGGAGGCCCAGGTGTGCCCTTCCCTACCACTCTCTTAGTGCAGACCTTGGCGCCTGAATCTGCTCTGCATTTCCTGAAGCAAGAGGGATAAGCCTGGGCTGCAGCTTGGGCAACTGGACGCCGGTCCGGCATCTTTTCCACAGAAAGCTGCTCACTGACTGCCTCCACATGGGAATCCACCGTGGGGAAGGCTTTCTGCCCTGCTTTTCCACAGCATAATCTCTAGGCAGCACTGTGGCATAACACAAATACACAAGAGGAAATTGTGCTTGCCTTTGCTTTTTCAGTTAAATGTCAAATTTTCCTCACTTTAAAAAGCCTCTCTGGTACTGGTTAGACTTAGGAGGAAAATGGGACCTTGTATCAGAATCTGAAGACTCCGTAAGCAACCATGAGGTGGCAAGCGCACAATAAATACTTCATACTGGGCTTTGACACCAGCGCTCTCAGAAATGTTGGACCTTTAAGAAAAATTTGCAACCATATTCAGAACATGCTGGGGGGCCGGGGGGCTTTCTAAGGAATTTTGCTGCAGTTCGAAATTCAAACAGTGCAGAAGCCAGTTAGTGCGAAAGGCAGCTGGTCGCTCTGTGACAAGCCATGTGCCTGTCCCAGCTCCTCCAGAGCCACAAACCTGGCCATGCGTGCCCATTTCAGCTCCTGCCCAAAGGACAGTCCTGCTAGGCCTGACTGCTGCTCCCTAGCGCTGCCTCCACCACCTCCAGGGGGCTTCGGATGTCTTCCCGGGTACACTCACCTGCCCCAGCCAGGGTGGCCAATGGTCCCCAGTGCCAAGGTCACGAGATTTCCAAAATTAGTCGCAGGAGAGGCCAAAGCCTCCCCTGCTCTGAGCCTGGAGGGCCTTCTGTGTTTGAACTTGCCACACAAAAATACTAAAAGGAAGCTTTATTGCAGAGAAGAGATTAATACCATTAAGAGGTAACAACAAAGAAAGCTGTGATCGGACACTTTAATACACTTCTAGCACACCTTCTTATCCTGACTGGTAAACAGTTTGCACCTGACTTACTTGTGTTGCTTATTTTGAGTGGCAAAGGATATTTGCCTTCTTGTTTGGAAACATAAGGAATACACATTGTTGCTCTGGAAAGCAACATTCATTGTTGCTTTGGAAAACAAGGAAAGTGTTATTTCTTGGCAGCATCTCATTGGGTCTCAACAAGCACGCTCCAAAGCCAGAAAGAGTCGGGTGGAGGAGGTGCCTCTGGGGAGGGTCCATCCAGGTCTCCAATGTGAAGCAAATTCTGAGATCACTCACAGAAAGTTGCCAATGTCACAAGGGCCCTGCTGCTGCTGCTGCTGCACATATGCTGTGAGATTTTTGCGGCAGCTGTGCTGCATTTGTGTGCTTGGGGCTTTCCCTCTTCCTCCTGGGGACATGTGCAAAATTTTTTTACTCCAAATAAAGCAGGGAAGCATGTTGCTTCAGGAATACATAACTGTCTCCTGCAGTAGTGAATAGTAACAAGATCATCTATTCTTCTGTGATTCAGGTCACGTTGAAAAGTGGAAAAACATGGTTTTCTTAAGCCCAATTTGCTGCAGTGCATGCTGGTCACATCCCACAGCCATTTTGAATGTTCACCATCTAATCAGGCCAAGCTGGGTTAGCTACATGACATCCAAACCCTGACACTGCAGGTAAATCGTGGGTTAAACAACCCACAGTTAACCCACAGCTAGCAGTGAGGATAACCCCCAAGTGGCCTAGTATGTGAGGACGGCCCCAGCAGAGGCTTCCCAATATCATGGGAAGTGACACCAAGCAGCAAATGCACATGAAATCAAAATGTGCAGATGAGCCGCAGTAGCCAGGGGCTGCTGAGCAGCTTCCCTCCCTCTCAGCATGGGAAAAATCCTGCAGTTCCACAGCCGAACGTTGGAGTGCCGACACCTTTCATTACCAGCCTATTCTGTAGGATCGTTTAAAGAAAAGGACAGCTCTCACATGCATTGCCAAACTTTGCTTAAAATATCACAGAGCTGTAAGACACTGCAGCATTGGGATGCAGTCGCCATTTCCAGGTATGTTGCAAAATTTCAGAAGAATGAAGATGCCTCTGAGAGCCCATGCCAGGCAAAATGCAAACCTCAGCTGACCTCTAGTGGCTTCTCCCTGTACGCCACCTTCTTGCTTCGCACGTTTCAGGGCGCATGCCTTTGCACGAACTCTTGGTGGACTCAGAGGGAGCTGGCCTGCATATGGGGGGCAGGAGCAAGGTCCCCAAAAGCCCTAACCCAACTGCGCTTCACAGTAAGAATGCACCAGGGTGCGGCAGCTGGGAAAAAGGCAGCCCAGGGGTGCTGACTGCTGTGGCCAGACTGCCCCCTGGTGCAAATGCCAGGGCACACTCTCCCTATAGCAGCTTCCGTAGCCTGTTTCTGGGCAGCATGAGAGGGCTGGCTATGGCCCCACACGGCTACTGAAAGACCACCTTCTCATATATGAGCCTGCCTGGCTCTTAAGGTCCTTGAGGAAGGCTCATCTTGCTAGGCTCCCACCGAGATGTGCTGGATTGTGGCCTGAGTGAGGTCTTACCTGGCAGTCACTCCCCGGCTCTGGGACTCCTGGCTGAGGGAGGTCCGCCTTGCTCCTTCCCTGCAGGAGGAATATAGTACCCAAAGACTGCATTCAAAGAAGACGTTCCAAAGATCTTGATAAGAAAAATTTGGGGCAATCTTCATAGACACTTGCAACAAGCTTGAGAAGAGAAAAAATTTATTAGGGCCCCAAAATAGAATATCACAGACAGAATGAAGATCCTATCAATGGAATGGATTCCCCCTCCAAGTGAACTAAAGTTTTTAATTTTTTGAGAAAACAAGGCCAGGCATGGTAAGTATTCAAGAAACTCAAATAATGAAAAAAAAATGCTCATACTTTGAATCATAAGAGATTGGGCAAAGCATATGAAATGCTAGCTGACACTAAAAAGAGGGGAGTTGCAATCCATATGAACAACCAAGCCTTAAAAGTTGTAGAAGAACTATAATGATCCAATAACCTGTGGGAACATGATTGATCGACAAGGATGAACTGAGCCTTGGCAACAACCGAAAGATCAAGGAACAACTACAGAATAGTTCTTCTATTACCAACTGGTTTCAAGATTGAAAAAGGAAATCCAATCTGGACAAGAACCGCGAGAGGCCTGACAGAATTAAAAAAGCAGATTATGCAACAGAAGGACCATTTCTTAGCATGATTTTATAAGCAACTACTCCGATTTGATAATGAAACTCGTCGAGACAAACTAAAAAATGCATAATTTGGACACATAATCCCGTCAATAGGAAGCTTTAAAGGAGGACATTACATTAACAGCCAGTCAGACACTAAGCGAACATTGGCATGGGATGTTTTTTCAGTGGTATTTTACTCTAAAAGATATACAGCAATTGGACAATAATTACAATGGAAAACGTTGGAAACGTAAGGAAGTAGCCGGGACTTTCTACCGTATGTGGCGGGCCTGTGATAAAACGAAAAGGTTTGGAAGCTGAGTCAAGTGGAAATCCACAAACCTTTAAAACCGCACGTTCCGACGGCGCCAAGAACACGCCCCGGAGCCCCGCGGCGGCGCTCCCTCTCCGCCCGCCCCCAGGCCCGGCGGCCGGCTTACCTCCGCGGCACCCCCGCGAGGGAGGCGAGGCAGCGGGCCGGCGGGCTCCGGGCGCGCCAGCGCCCTCTCCCCGCAGCCGCGGAGCCTCCCGCCGAGCCCGGGCAGCGCCGCGCGCGC